TTCAACAATGTTTTGTAGTTTTCAGTATAAATTTTGCACTACTTTTGTTAAATTTACTCAAGTATTTTATCTTTTCAGTGCTATTGGGAATGTAATTGTTCTCTTCATTTTATTTTCAGATTATTCATTACTAGTGTATAGAAATACAATTGATTTTTGAACATTAATTTTGTATCCTGCAACATTACTGAAGGGTTCTAATAGTTTTTTAATGGGTTTCTTTTCTTAGGGTTTTTTAAATACAAATCTATAAATAAAGATAGTTTTACCTCTGCAAACTGAATGCCTTTAATTTTCTTGACTAATTGTCCTGGCTACAACCTCTAGTACAAATGTTGAATAGAATGGTGAAATTAGATATCCTTATCTTGTTCCCAGTCTCAGAAGGAAGGCATCTATTAAACATAGGAGTATTAACGATTAAATATAATAGTAGCTTTTTTATATACAATCATGATACTTTGCATATGATTCCATATCAGTACCTATAGAACAACCTCATTTTTTATAAAAGTGGCATATTTCATTGTGTGAATGTAGCAAACTTTTTAATCTATTTTCTGATAGATATTCAGATGATATTTTATCCTACAAATGATGCTGTAATATATAGTCTTGCTACATGTTATTTTGCACATATGTATATATATAGATCTTTGGGTAACCCTTAGAAGAATCGCTGTCATTTTGGTAGATATGGTCATATTGCTCACTAGAATGTTTGCACCAGAAAGATGTGTGAGAATGCCTGTCTTTTAGCATAGTCTCACTGGCATGGTATCTTAATAGATAAGGGGAAAAAAAGTATTTCATTATAGTTTTAGTTTACACTTACCATGAATGAAGCTGGGTATCTTGTCATATGTTTTAAGAGGTATTTATATTTCCTTTTCTATGAATTTTTTGTTCATATTCTGTCCTCATTGCCCTTAATAACTTGTTGCTCTTTTTCATACTTTGTAGATATCCTTTATATATAGGAAAATTAACCTTTTGTCTATAATATGATTTATAAGTATTTTGAACCTAGTTTGTCATTTGTGTTTTGACTTTGCTGATTTTTGACTGAAGAAAATGTTAATGTTCGTGTAGTTAATTTTATTTGGCCTTTTTTTGGTTTAATTTATAGCTTCCAGATTTTGCCATAGTTAGAAAGGTCTTTCCCACTCAAAGATTATAAAAAAGATTCTTTAATTTTTTTCCCCTAAATATTAAAGCTGGGCTTTAATAAGTTCTTCCTACTTTTTAAAAAGTTTGACAGTTTCCTATTTCTAGTTTTTTTGATATCTGTGTGTTTCCCTAATTCTACAGATATCTCTGAGTGGCTCAGCAGTATTATTTAGAAGCTCTCTGAGTACTTTGAGATAAAATTTATCTAATCTAGAATTTAGACTCCTTTTGGTTAACTAGATGATATCTAGTGAAGACAAGTTCTTTACTCATTAGAGAATTGTTCTAATTTATTTATACTTATTTCACCCTTTAATTTTTTGTTTCCAAACAATTATGTAATGTGCGCAGTAGCAAAATAGCAATTGACTTCTCTATTCTGTCTCACTTCTACCTTCTGCTCAAATTCTTACTTGTTTTTGACTATTTGTGGACTTACCTTGATTTTTCTTGTTCTAAAGTCTGTAGAGTAAAAAAAGAGGATGATTCTTGACCACAGCCAAACTTACTTCCCATTTACATAGCTTTTTCAAGAAATAATGAGCAACCACTACATACTTAACTATGTTCTAAGAAGATGAAAACAAAATTTATGAAATTTGTTTCTCATTTCAGGGAGAAAGGCAAGATTACTATACATAACAATAATGCCATTATCATTACTAGATAATAGTATTTGTCACTTTAGATATAACTCAGAACTTGTGTTAAAAATTTTGTTTGTTTGCAAGTGTGGTTGAAGTGTGCTTGGGGGAAAACCCAGAAGTTATGAAAGGAACTATTTCTTCTCTTACAGCTCATTTTTCTAAGGTGCTGTGGCTAATAAGATTTTCAGAACTGGGCATACAAGAAGGCTAGACTATAATTGTATCAGCTCCAGGTGTTCTGCAAAGCCAGACAAAGTATATTCTTCCAACCACTTGTGACAGATGGAATATATTTTTATTGAGTTATGCTAGCTTTTAATAATGCTTTTCCTTAAAGGAAACAAGACCCATTTATTTAGATAGCTCATGATTCTCTAGTCTCCCTGGTCAGTTTTCAGTGTTTCCTTTGTCCTTTTTTGGTTTGATTAAATTCAAGGTGGGTCGTACTTGCCTCTCAAAAGCTATTAATTAAATTCTGACTTTAAAGTGAATAGAGGTTCCAACCTCTTTCACAGTAGCTTAGAATTTAAAAAGCTACATTTTAACAAGTATGGACCTGCATATTTGCTTTCTTAGAAAAAGTACAATTGGTCTTGATTGAACCCAACTGCATTTCAGAAATTGGTTTTTCTTGTTAATATGATTAAAATTACAGTTTCACTAAAAATATTTTTTTCTTCCTCTGAGAATTTCTTTATTGTGCCATCTTTCCTACCATAGAACTAGTCTGTGTTGTTGGTGTGAAAAAAAAACTTCAAGTAATTTGTTTGTTTTTATAACATATTTCTCTCCTTGACTTCATCTTTCTCTCTTGCCATTAGTCTTTCCACATTCCCACCTGTCCTCACCCAATTTGAGAGCAATAAGATAGAAGAACATAGAAAGGGAGTTAGTTATATTAGAATTTTCAAGTCAGTGATCATTTCTGTTCCTTATTTATCCCAACGTCTTGAATTGAACCAAACTCTATCAGTGTCTTAAGTATTGTTACAATATGCTGATCATGTAACAATAGGGTATTGTAAAAAATATATTGACATAGTACCTGAAAATTGTAAGGCAGTCATTTTCTGTTTCCTGAGAAACAGATGGTCTTTATAGCTCTTACATAGAGCCAAGGGCCAAAGGGTAGAGGAATGGGTGGTATTTTGAACTGTAGGAGGATAAACTAACTGGGGGCATAGATTTGGTGGAACAGAATTAACTTCACATATCTGGACTAGAAGAGCCATGCTAGGAAGCAACAATTCAATTAACAATAAGAGCATATATCACACATTTAAATAAATGAGAATGTAACATGTATTAGGTTGAGAAACTACAATATGATGTTAAGAGTGGTTGTCTATAGAGTGACAAAGTCAGATAACCTTTAGTAGGTAAACAGTCAGGCCTTAATAATTAGTTTACTTGACTCTGCCACTTAGTGTTGTGAACTCAAGCAAATCATTTTATCTCATTTAGCATCAGTGTCTGTGTCTGTAAGGTGAGGGTGGTAATAACATACTTACCTTTGCTGGATGCACGCACGCACACACACACACACACACACTCACATACACTGCACTGAGAATATAGTTTCTGGCACCAAAAAAAACCCTGAATAAATGTTAAGGTTCTTTCCTTCCTTTTTTTCTTAAGCTTTCCTATACAACCAGAGAGTATTAGAGTATTACAAGGCTATAATGCTAAATTAGGTATATGTTAACAACAAATATTTGTAGTAAAACAGTTAGCGATTCTAGCTTGTTTTCTAAGTTAACTAATTATGTACACTATTTTAGTTTTTTTCCAATTGTGATAATCATTCCTTGTATTTGAGTGTCCTCATCATCCTATCCTTATCAGGTTTGTATTATGCTTTCAGAAATTACAAATTTATCCATTCTCATTCTTTATGTGGCACATGCTAGTCTTCTTAATTTTTTCTTATCTAAATCTAATACAAACTCCTCCTCTATTTCAATTACATTTGGCCTCCTGACATTTTTCTTTGTTTGATAACAGTAATAATTTCTTTATCAGTTCATTTCATATAACTTCAAATTTCTTCTTCTAAGGTGTTTCTTTAAAATGTTGCTTAATAGATAGCCTCCTCTTCCACTTGAAGACTTATTCCACTCTTGTGAATCACCAAGAAAAAAAATACACTTAAATGAAAAAATGGCATTTAAAAAATAAGAATGTGTACTTGTACTCTGAAGAATCCACTTTATGGTAGAAATAACATCTAAAGTATTATAGATATCAGGTAAAGTTTAACTGACACTGTTAACACTTGAAACTTTAGATTTTTCTTCAGCCCTTACAGAAGTGAATCTTAAAATATTAAGGTTTGTCATCTTACATGGTTTCATTTATAAATTAAATCTTAATAATCATGCTTCTCCTATCTTAAAAACCAGACAGCAACAATTATCAGGAAAACAAAGAACACTTAGAAGATGGAGACTGCTTAGTGTTCATTCTCAGTTTGAATTTAAAACTCTGCTTTATTCTCACTATTAAAGGATAATTAGGACTATTTATTTCCTGTGACAGTATAATTCATAGTCCATTTTCCATGGAAAAGATTGTGAGATTTAAAAAAAAAAAGAAAAGCTTAAGATGTAAAGACATGAGGGGCATCTCCCCTAATGAAATCATGTGGTCCTTCAAGGTACAGTTCAAGAGCTGGCTACCCTGAATTGACATTTTTCCTGCTGATTTTCAAAACTGGAAAATGGTAACTTTAGGATTCTAAGCTTCCCTAAATAATTTGTATTATTTTTAATCATAATCTGTATAATTACTATGTTCCTATTCTTTATCTTTATTATGTTAATCATTTATTTTAATAAGACATAAACAATATCATCTAGAGTTTGAGCCTAGACTAGAAAGCCTTTAGAAAATTGTATTGGGTGGGAACTATTTTTTTAAATTGTCAATCTGGCCTATTCAGTTTTTTCATGTTTTGTTATAAAAATTAGTTTTCCATGACTTTTAGGATAGGAATAGGAGCCAAGATTTATTGTATTGCATGGTAACACTTACTATAAAATCTATATATTGCCTCTGATTGAAATATTAAATTTGGCTTCAGTAAATCAAACCTTTAATATTTTTTAAAAAAGAAATCAAGGAAAAAAAACAGTCTGGAGCAATGTGTGTTAGTACTTTAATATACTGTTGTCTTTTCAGGCTCATGAGAGGCTAGAAGACTCAAAACTAGAAGCTGTCAGTGACAATAACTTGGAATTAGTCAATGAAATTCTTGAAGATATCACTCCTTTAATAAATGTAGATGAAAATGTGGCAGAACTGGTTGGTATACTCAGAGAGCCTCACTTCCAGGTAAACTTATCCTATCACTCATTTTCCTAAGTCTAGTGTATTCTCGAAGTATTGTTTTTTTAGTAGTAAAGTTACAGTTTAAGGTGATATTTTTTACAATTATTTGGGACCATTTTTTAAATATATAATTTCCAACTTACATATTTTAATGTGATATGCTGAGGATATATAAACAGACCATACAACTAGTACATACTGCATAAATATATAAGGTCTGTCATAGAAATACATTAGAATGTATTTTCCTTCATGTAATTAGAAAAGAAACAGCCCTGGTTCACCATTAGACCTACATACTAGAGACATTTTTATCACTGATATAATGGCCAGCTCTCCTTGTGACCAGTACTACACATTTCAGTATTGCTTCTAAGACTAGGGTGCATTGAATGACTTTAGAACAAAATAAAACTGTATAAGACAGAAACTCTTACATAACACACTTACCATAGGTATAAAAATAAGTGCTAATTAAGCACTGGTCTTTATCAGTGAAGAGTTAATCCATTAACAAGAATCAGTTTTAGAAGAGAAATTGGAGGTGGGGGGAGGGATTTCTTATAAATCAGTAAGACAGTGTATTACTGGGACAGCATTAGAAACATCAACTAATAGAAGAGAATAGAAACCCCAACAGTACATCCAGACCTAGAGGGCAACTTTATTTATGACAAGACACAGCATTTTAGTGGAGAAAGAATGAACTACTTCACAAATGCTTCTGGGATAGAAGAATGAAGTGTGTGTCACCTGCTTTTCACCGCAAATCTTGACATTGGAAATCAAATGACAACACTTCTGCTTTTCTTCTAAACTTTCTGTGAGTGTCCAACAATGTTAACTACAAAACGTGAAGATTTATAGTGAGATGGTTCTATATGAATCAGCATATCTTAGGTACAAAAAATAGACATGTCAGAGACATCCTTTATGTTGGGGACAGTTGATTGAGGCCTTATAAGATATTTGGACTTTATCCTGGGGACAGTGGGAAACTGGATGGGGACAGAGAAAGGTAGGTAGGTTTTACACAGGGAAAGGTCAGATTGTTGAGCAAAATGGTAAAGTACTAAGGCAAGAAATGTGATGGCAGTACAAACAGTGGGAAAAGTGAGAATTTTCAAGTTTTAAGCAGTAAAATCAGTGGAACTGGTGATAGTTACATGTGACAGTTGCAGAAGAGACATTTGGGAAGTTGATAGGATTTCTGACAATGAATGGCATATCCACTGGGATAAGGAACATGAGGAGAAACTGTTTGGGACATGTTAATGTTAACATAACTGGCCACGTTAACTTTGTGATACCTCAAAAGCATCTAGATAGAACTTTCAGGCATGCCATATATTTTTAATAAGTATATTAAATTAGAAAATACTGGCAAGCAAAAATAAAAAATCAAGACATTGCATTCTACCCAGATCACTCCTGTAGTGTCTTAGCACAGATTCTTCCATTTTTTTTCTATGCATAATGGTACACTTTTTTTTCTTTTTTTGATATCGTTAATGTAGAATTACTTGAACAACATTATGGTTACTAGACTCCCCCTATTATCAAGTCCCCCCCACATAACCCATTACAGTCATTGTCCATCAGTGTAGTAAGATGTTATAGAATCATTACTTGTCTTCTCTATATATACTGCCTCATAAAGGTATACTTTTATTTTCTTTACTGATTGAGATAATTTTGTACAAGCTGTTCTGTAACCGTTTTTTCAGTTATTGATTTCCACTGTTACGTTTCAGTGGACCTCCATCTCATCTAATACACATATATATATATATTCAAACATCTCCATTTGACATCAAAATATTCTTTCTAGCTGGTTTATGCTAAAGACTTTCGATCCTAGGTTCATGTGAAGTATCTGGTTGGGCCAGTCCTTTCTCCCTTGATTATGATGCTGATCTGTTGAAGAGACCAGGCTGTTGTCCTTCAGAATGTCCCACTCTCTGGATTTATCTGGTTACTTTTTTACTGTGTTGTTAAGTTATCTCTTCTATTTCCTGTAAAAAGAAGTTCTATCTAAAAGGTTGATGGTTGAAGTTAATTATTTAGAGCTAGAATACATTTTAAGTGACATGATGCAACATGAATTAAACTGTATCAGAAGATGTATAATACCTGGTTGGCCCATCACTATTGATGCTGCGATTGGTACCTTGATTAAGGTCAATGAAAGTCTAATCCTCTCCACTAGGAAGTAATTTGGTGTGTTATTACTCTAGCATTATACAAATGCTGTTTCCTATCAACCACTTACCTACTGTTGAACACAAACTAATAGTCCTTGCCTGAATCAATATTTTCATTAGAGGTTGCAAAAAGACATTTTTCAAATTCTCTCATTCTGCATTTTAGTAGTGGGTGTTCTTGTATAAAGTAGAATTTTTCTTCCTCATCTGAGCTATTTAGGTACCCTAAATGCATTTTATACTAAAAAGTCATGGAAATGCCTGATCCTTTCCTTTAGCAATTTTTGAAGTAAAGAATTGTTTAAAACAGTGGTCTCAAATTGTAACAAATGAGTTTTTTCATTCCTTCTGTTTTTTAAATAGCATTATACAGTTGTGGATTTTTCATTAATTCAGTATGTTTCAGTCCTCCACAATCTGTACTTTTTTATTTTCAAATTATCATGACTTTGGGCAGTTGCAGGCAGATACTTAGTGTATGAATCTGAAGCTCTTGGGAGTTCTGGGCTAGAGATATAAAATTAGTAGTTATCAACAATTAGGTAATGGTTCAGGTCCTGAGAGTAGATAGTATTCCCCAAGGAGAGAGCACTCGGTGAAAACTCAGCAGCCTAAGTTAGAGATTTGAGTAACTTCCAGCATTTATTGGAATAATCCTTACATAGGGATTTGTGAATTTTTTTCTTCCTGAAATTTTCATATTTTCATGAAACAACTAGAAATTACCAATTGAGCCCATAACTTGATAACTTCTATTCTGAACCTGTTGAAATTTGCTCAGTACTTTCTATTTAGATTTGTTTTTGAACTTGCCTTCCACCCACTCAAAAAATTTTTTTAGATTTAGCTTTGTGTTGAATATACACATTTACACTATAAATAAAAACTGTAAGAAAATCCTAGAAAGCTATATCAAAGTCATCCATAATAGCACATGTACAGTAAATGTAATAGACAAAAGTGTATTCAGGACCATTACTGTTTCATTGTTTTTTTTCTCTCCCCCAAAATTTATCTTCTATCAACTAAAACTTTTATTGATAATGTTAAATTTCTCATCACTGATATTAGATGCTGATATTTATCCATTTTCCTATTAGACATCTTTTTAACAGACATTTTGTACATGTAAAAAAATACAGTATTACTAATGTAACAATTTTAGGTTAAAATTAGTTCCCTGCCATTTGAATTTGAATGTTGATGATGGCAGTGACAGTGGTGTGGCAATGAAGTCCAGTGTTTTTGCTGCACCGTATTTGCAAACCTAGGTTTAGTTTCCATTGAACATGCCAGTTTTTTTTTTAAAGTCACAAAACTCTTGTCAGTCTCTTCAAATCCTTTAAAACAAGGAGTATACTACTGTTATGAAAATAAAATGATGTATACTTAAATTTCTTTAAAATATTCTCTGTAAATTTGGCTTAACTCATATTTGGGAGTTTAATAATACAGGCCTTGGAAATTTTTAGTACTCCCCTGGGATAATAGACTGTTATTTTTAATAACTTATTCTGTCAGTAATTAATAACCACAGACTGTTTTGAATCCTTATAGTCACTCTTAGAGGCCCATGATATTGTGGCATCAAAGTGTTATGATTCACTGCCATCAAGCCCAGAAATGAATAATTCTTCTATCAATAATCAGTTGCTACCAGTAGATGCCATTCGTATTCTTGGTATCCACAAAAGAGCTGGGGAGCCATTGGTGAGTAGATAAATCAGTGCCTTTTTTAAGTCTGAAATCTGACATGTTTGTGGCTCAGTCACTATCTCACTTTTTTTCCTTTTAATAATTTGTATTATTAGGAAAACGTTAGTTTGTGTATGTTTGTTTTATCAGCCTTTTTGGGCGTGTCTATAAATACACAGCTGATGCTCTCTCTTGACTTGATTTAACACACAAAATTAAATGCAAATGAAAAGTTAAACCAAAACAGAGGCCAGAAGAAGTTCGCCACTGTGTAGCAAAAATTTCAGGAGATAACTACTCCATTTCTTTAAATCCCCTTTGAAGTAATGAACTCAGGTTGCTTGCTAATGACAAAAACAAAACACAGAAGAAAATGGTTATTAAAAATTGAAGACATGATAGGACTCTGAGTAGTGAGTATACTGTTCCCGCTGGAGTTATTATTTTTGGGTCCTGACTTTAAGAACAGTGAAGTGGAAAAAAAGAAGAGCCAGAAACAAGACCATCAGAATACACAGATAAATTTTTCTTGCTCCTTTGAACTTCTTTTATCCTGTGGAATACAGTCTAGTACGTATTTCATTTTTAAGGCTAACCTTACCATGAAGTCCTCTTACAGGGTGGTATATGTTGTCACAGTTGCATATAGTTTAATGAGATTGGAATATTGAGACAGGAGAGAACATGGGAAAAGTTGAAAAAATTGAATCATTTAGAATTTTTTCTCATATATACATATTCATGAACTTTTACAATTATTTTTGTACATATATGTATTCATGATTTTTATATACATTTATATACATTCATGATTTTTTATATGAGAAAATATAGAGGTGGAGCCAAGATGGCGGCATGAGTAGAGCAGTGGAAATCTCCTCCCAAAACCACATATATTTATGAAAATATAACAAAGAAAACTACTCCTAGAATAGAGACCAGAGGACACAGGACAACATCCAGACCACATCCACACCTGAGAGAACCCAGCGCCTCACAAAGGGGTGCTTTTTGGAAGTCTTAAAGGGACAGGGACCCTAAAACTGGACGGAAG